GGTGAAAAATAGGATGAAGAGATGGGGAGAAAAAGGTTAAAGCATTTTATTTCCCTAGCTCTTCTCCTAAATTAAAAGTTAAACATTCTTTGCTTTACCCTAGATTTGCCCCAAATTCTAGTAAGTACAGCCTTCCATAACTCTTAAGTCTTTTCAAATCAAATACCAACTTCCCTCATCTGCTGAAGTGTCCAAAAGGCAATTTTTTTATTTGAAATGCCAGAAATACATTAGATTATTTAAGGAAAGGGAGGGGTAGAATACAAATATAAATATGCAAATAAAAATTAATAGTTGATCACCCTAATTAAAAGCATAATGTCATTACCTCTCATTTGCATGAAATAGTTAACGCAGAAAAGTGAAGACTAACCAAATTACTCAGTATGTAGATATATATTGCCACAACATACAAAGGTCCTACTCTAGGAATAGGGAAAACACATAGGCTTGTCCTTCTTATATTTGTAGTTGTACTTTATGGTTTACGAAGTACCATACATACCATACACACATTACCTCTCTCTAGCTATGCAGCAACCAGCAAGGCAAGCAGAAATGATCTACATTTTCCAGAGAAAACTAGACTCCAAGAAGTTAACTAAGTTGCCCGATACTCACAGACCTATCAGAGACCTAAGGATGAGCATATCTTGTGACTTCCAGTGTTACTATATTGGCAGTTACATTTTAGCAATTTATTTATTTGGTGGGGGCTTCCCTGGTGGCTCAATAGTAAAGAGTCTACCTGCTAAGCAGAAGACCTGGGTTCGATCTGCTGGAAGATCTCCAGAAGATCCCCTGGAGAAGAAAATGGCAATCAACACACTCCAGTATTCTTGCTGGGAAATCCCATAGACATAGGAGCCGGCAGGCTACAAAGTGTTGCAAAGAGCAGGACACGACTTAATGACTAAACAATTTATCTGGTGGTGGAGAGCTTGTGGAAGCAGTACCATCCCTTTTATAAATGAAATCTTATATTGAACCTGAACTGTGAGACACATAAATACACTAAAGGGCTTTCATAAGTGTTTAATTATAAACTAACAAATACTGATAATAAGTTTGTGTTCACACAAATGAAAATTGATCTTCAGCAGATATGTAGAGGAAGGTTTTTCTAAAGGCCTGTGCCTTCATAATCAATGAGTCTTTCTCATCAATGTCTTATTAGCAAAAGTGTTCAAATACATGTACAATGGGAGCAGAACAAATTTTTCAAGGCCTGCACAAGAACAGTCTGGTAATGAAAGATTTTGGGGTAGTTGTAATATTGTACTTAAAATTTAATCCAATTCAAACATTTTTGAATACTGAAGCATCACAGGGCTCCATAAAAAGCAGTCTGAAAACCACTGCATAATGACTTGCTGTCATAAATTCACTTGCTTGCTCTCTGCTTGGCTCATTTTGAGATAAAACTAAAACCTACTTTGACAATCCAAAAAATGTATATAAGAAACCTGATTAATCAAAACAAAATATGATTACTATTTCACAGTCAAAGCAATACCACTCTTTTGGTTGAACCATATAAAACTGCCATTAACTGACAATTTTGACTATAAAAATAAGGTTCATATGGTTTAAACTAATATTTCTCATTTTATTTTCCCAGTCTCTTCACTCATAAAACTATCAAAAAATTGTAAAAAATAAACAGATATATAAGCAAAATGGAAAAAGTACAATATCCAACAACAACAAAAATCACTGGAACTACCTAACCATATTAAGCATTTTAAAATGTTAAACCCTCTAACATAATGTGCAGAGTTTTATTCACTTCAGTAGCACTAACTGCTCAACACTCAAAATACATTGTCATATGCCCCCTTTTATTTACTGGAGGATGTGTGGGTTGAGTTACCTACCTTTCTTAATGTAGATTGGCACTCCACTTTGAAATGTATCTAGTTGTCAGTGGAATTTCTTCAAGCAAAACCTATAACACTTCCGAACTCATCAACTTTTCCAAAGTAAATAGAAGCATTTCCTTTTTTATTAAAAACTTTATTATTTCATTGATAACAGAGCAAGTCAGAATAAGTAGGAGTTAGATTTGAAGAGAGTTTTGTTTCTTCATTTCTTTCCCTATCTGGTTTACCTCTCCATTCTTCCCACTGACCTAGGGTTACCAAATTAGGTATATTCAATACTTGAAGAAGTCTCTCTTTTTTTGGAAGACATTGAATCAAAATCATAAAGGTACTTCTAAGAATAAAAGTTATTCTCATACAACACACAATTCAATTTTCAGATATTGGGTTGAACCAAATCACTTACTTTAATGGAGAATCCAGTTCCTTTGTAAGTTCCCCCTCAAGTTCAATACATTGCAACAAATGAAGCCACTTAAACAAAAAGGCCTCATGCCACATAAATAAAGGTGATTCTTTCCCCATCATTAGTGAGGATTATACAGCAAAGAGTAATTCACTCTGGGTGTGCATGAGTTTCATTCTTCCATCATGAACTACACTGAACTAAAATTCAAAATGCTGTGACTCACATGGTTATTACTGAACACTTAATATTAAATGGAAAACACAAGATAAATCCAGAGAATCCCATTTTGAGAGTTACAGATGAATTTTGCTTAGTTGTATACTTTCTATCAAAAAAAAGAAAACCCATTTCTTTATTAGAAAAGAAATGCTATTTTTAGAATGATAAAGAATTTAAAATGCTAAACACTTGATATCTTTTAAGAGCACTTAAGGCATTCTTAAAAAGCTACAAATGTTGCCAAGTCATGTCATAACTGGCTCAATCCCATTCCCATCTAAAGTTATTTCATGCTACTGCATGAATCAATATTAAATACCTTGGAGTTACTAAAAACTGGAAATTGGCATAGATGTGCACAGCAATTGTAAGATATGAAAATGGTGAATATTCATTTTCCATATATTCTCTCTTTTAATAATAGGAGGATGTTTTCCTTACAGGTAAAAAAAAAAAAAAATTTCTTATAAGCTAAAGAATCCGTCTGCAATGCAGGAGACCCCGGTTCGATCCCTGGGTTGGGAAGATCCCCTGGAGAAGGGAAAAGGCTATCCACTCCAGTCTAGAGAATTGCATGGACTGTACAGTTCACCAGGTCGCAAAGAGTCAGACACAACTGAAGGATGTTCACAAGAGAAAGATAAAAAGATATCTTGAAAGCTAGCAAAATGTCATGGATCGTAGCCTTGCTTCTCTCAAAAGAAAAACAGATTTTCAAACTTTAATACTACCTTCAAACATTTTATTAGTCTACCAAATTGCCAGAATCATTAAAAAAAAAAAATCCAAGGTAATACAGGTCTTTCACCCCTTATTCAGTTAAAAAAGAAAAAGCTGCTTTTTTAAACCAGGCTTGAGTTTAATCAAATGTGTCTTAAAAAACACTTCTTTTTTCATATTAAAGACATAACACCACTTTTAAAGCTGGAAAATCATCATCATCATTTTTTAAAAAGCTAAGTTCAGATGACATCTGACCCAGAAATGAAAGAGTTAACATTCAACTAAGCTGCTCTGCACTTCTGATCCTTTACATTTCTCACAAGCTGCCCTACAATGAGCTGAGCAAGTATCAACTGTAATTTGATCCCGGAGTTTATGGAAAAAAATAACTGCACATACTCAACATGCACATTTAATAAAAATCTGTTTCAAGAAAAACATACCCGATAAACACAATTTAAGGCATATTTAACTGTTTGATTAACTTTAAATATGCTATCCCTTTGCTTTCTTCATGCTCTCAAATAAAACTGGGGGCGGGGGGGGGGGGGAGCAGCGGCTCTACTGCAGGGAAAAGAGGCTTGAAAAACAACTTTGATTGGCACTTGGCCTGACCCACAGAGGAAGAAAAACAGTTTTTGGACAAAGAGCGCAAATATTTGAGCTTGCTTACTTACATGTTTCTTTCTTTCTTTTTTTTAATATAGAAAGAACAATCTCAATTGAACTGTAGTTAAAGAAATTGACTAAAAACGGTGCCGTATTCATCTTAGCCTTTCAGTCCCGACGCATTTGCACAGCTCAGCAATTTTAATTCATTTGTACTGGACAAACAGAAGCACCTCAACTACTGTTTCCACTTAATGAAATGTTAAAATAGTCTCGAGAAGAATAAGCTAATTATAATATAACCCAGTGGCGGCTGTTAAAGTCTGATTAAAAGCTTTTCTCGTTCTAAAGCGACATCTTTTCATACCGCACCACCCCCACCCCCGCCCCAACCCTTAACGGAGCGATTAAGCCAAGTGAGCTAAACAAAACTGGAGTAAACTTTCTATCAGTCACTCTGGGAAGCAATAAACTGATTGCGCGTCTGATTTTTCTGGAGCAACACCGGGTGCGGGGGATGGGGGTGGGGTGGGTAAGCGCTAAAAAGGGACAACTCACGTCCACCCTCGTCTCCACCTCCCCCAGCCCCAGCTTGAGGAACTGTAACGTCGAACAGCGTTTCCCATGGGCATAAAGTTCAAGCTGCTTTACCAGTTTCCTTCGGGATCGACCCGGAGCCACAAGACGACCATCAAAAAGAAGGTTAAAAAAAAAAAAGAAGAGTATTCGGGTAGAGCGTGCAGAAGCAAAAGCGAAATAAACAAAAACAACACCCGCAGGAGTTAGGCGCAGCCGAGAGGGAACCAGGTTCCTCTGGACCAGACCAGTTCTGATTTCACACCGACTTGCACCCAGAACACCGGGAGGAGGACCAAACAGGTCCGTCACCCCTCCGCCCGAGGAGCGGGAATGGGGGGGTGGGGCAAGGTAGCTAGGTGAACGGAGAGACGGGCTGCAAGCACCCCCAAACCCCCGACCCCCAAGCCCCTAGCCCCGGGGGCCGGCGCTGCCCCGGCAGGAATCAAAAGCCCAGCAGGCTAGAGCCTCCGCTCGCGGCTCAGACCCCCTTCTGGGGGTCCGGCGGAGGGGCCCCGGGGTCCCTCGGCCGCCGCGAGCAGGAAGCGCCCCTCGGGGCCGGCCCCAGGCCGAGCCCGTACCTTCCGCAGCACTTTCCGGCAGTTGGTACAGAGCAGGTAGCTGGCGGCGGCCGACGGGCTGCTGCCGCCGCGGTTCATCGCGGCTGCGGGCGGGCGGGCGGCGGGCCGGGGCCGGGCTGTCACTGCGGCCGCCCGCGCCGCTGCGGGGCCCAGACTGTCCCCCTCACACGCCCCGCAGGCCGCGCTTGTAGCCTCAGCCTCCTCGGGGCGGGAGGACGGGACGGGGGGGCGACGGCCGGAGAGCGGGCGGCTGCCCGCAGCGACCCCCGCGGCGGCTGCCGGAGCGACGGCGGAGACGGCGGCGGCGGCTCCTCAGCGGCGCGTCGTCCCGCCCGCCCCCATCCCGCAGACCCCCGCCCCCGCCCGGCCAGGACCAGCAGCCGCCGCCGCCGCCGCCGCCGCCGCCGCAGCCGCAGCGCCTCAGCGCCTCCGCGCGGCCCCGCCCCCGCCGCCTCAGCGCCTTCACCACCTCCGCGCCCTGGCACCGCCCCCTCCCGCCTATCGGGCCGCCCTGGCCACGCCTCCCGGCGCCAGCCCGCAGCCAATGAGTGGCTGAAGCCGGCTGAGGCGCGGCGCCGGCCAATCACAGACGCCGAGGACGCCTCGAATCTCCAGGCGAGTTAAGTTTGTCTCCGAGGTTCCGACCTGCAGGGAGACGGAGGGTTAGTTCGGTAACCGGGTGGGAGGGAACCGAGTTTGTGCTGCTCCGCCAATAGGAGGAAAGGGGTGTGTCATATGCAAATAACCCCGTGAAACCCGGCCCCACCCCTAAGGCCAGCCACAGCCCCTGCGCTAGGTCCGTGCGTAAACGGGGAGGGAATGAGATAAATAGCTGGGAGCTAGAGCTCGCTAGAGGGTCTAAGACTTGACTAAATGTTTCCTGATTTCTTGAGAAAGACGGTGGGGATGGGGGGGAGCTAAAAGGTTCATTCCGATCCACCAGGGCAGTGGTTAGGCTTTCTCTTAGCGAGAATCTTAGCTGGAAAGAAGACTGCAGTCCTGTAAGCAGTTGGCAGCCAAGGATCTCAAAGAACTTTATGCATCGCTTATCCTTGTTTTGCAAAAGACCTAAAGCAGCGGGTGGGGGATAGATGTTTAACTACATTTACACCATTAGTCGGTTAGAGGGAAACAAAAGACTCAAAACCTGTGGGTTAGCGGTTTCCTCCTCCATCTAAAGCCCCTTCTCGTCGTAGTCTCTCAGCAACGAAAATTCTTTTATTTGTTCAGCTCGAAAAGGCCAAAGACACAGGTTTGTGTTCCACCCCAAAGTCCTTCTGGGGCAGCTGGTTAGATAAACGCAGAGCACGGAGCCATGACTGGGAACGAAGCTTCAGAGAACAAATTGTCATTTAAAGCTGTTGGGCTAGACCTGCCTCTTGCAAAGCTACAATTGAATTCGGGATTTTGATATTCACGCTCTGGGGAGAGAAAGCAGATGTAACTGGGGGAAGCTCAGGCTGGCAGGGTGTGGGGCGGACAGGCAAGTGGGAGAATACGGTCTCCGGAGGGGCTAGCAGCGCTCATGCTGGTTGAAGGCGGGTTCCGACGCGAGACACCCCGAAACCTCCTCCCCCGTGAGAACAAAGGCAGGTGCCGAGCGAGAGCCTGGTTGGTGCCGGGCGCTCCCCGGCGTCCTCCGGGCCCCGGAGATTTCTTGCTCTGCCCACTGGAGCCGGGTTCCGTGCACACTGGAACCCCAGCTCCCCACCTGGCCCTGGCTGAAACCACACAGACTGTGCGTTATGACATCACCTGTTTTCGCGCTGGAGAACGCGATCGGTATTCTCGGCTTCTGCTTTTCTTAAAGGTCGCTGGCGTACGAGGATCTGTGAAGGCCTGCAGTTGGCTGAATGAATCTGTGGAGATGATTTACATGAACGACTTCACTGGTTTGCATTTCTCTCTTTTCTTTCCTTTCTTTTTTAATTTAAAAAACTATCCTGGTTTCCTTAGGGATTCAGTGTGGTGTTGTGATGCAAAATCAGAAAGGTACACTTGGAGGAGCTAGTAAGTTTAGCATATCAAAGCTATTAGACCAAATTATGTGGTTAAAACTGCCAATCTCCTCATTTTTCGACAGCTGCCCCCTCTCTGTCCCTTTTAGAGACCAACGGGCATAAACCAAGTCTACACAAGGAACAAAGAAAATGGAAATCTGCCAGTGTCAGGTTTAAATAGATTAAAATAGACTGGAAAACCCCCAAAGGGTCTAAGTGATGTGGTGGGGTAAATGTGTTGATCCATTTAACTAGTGAGAGCTAAAGTTCTCTTGGTGTTGTGTGGATTTATACAGCCTAGCAGAGCAATGGCGTGAGGAAGGTGTATAACATCGTTAGAAGAAACTAGAAGATTCAGCAGAGGGAGAAATGACTTCCACACACTTCAATGCAGAGAACCAAGAAATCCAGGGAGAAAGTTAGGAAGGCACAGTTGTCCTCAGAACTGAAACACATATGTGTCCCCATTTAGTGGTACATTTCTTGAGTTATATTCCTGGCTTGGAAAGCAGATTTTATGTGAATACATTTTAAAGGCAAGTTGAAATTAAAGGATGAAATGAATTTTTGTGCAGAGATTGAATTTTCTCAAACAATATTTTAGCTTCAAATTATTTTCTATCATATACTTTTTATATCCTTTTCTTTTATTTAATAGCTAAAATTCTTTCACAGTGAAGTCCCTTAAGTTCTTCAATAACTCAAAGAGGAAGGCCAAGAGAGGTCAGCCCCATACCATTATACCTTCTAACAAAGATTGCTAAAAGGAGGTTTTAGAAGAATCTCTTCGTTGATTCATGGTCATGTACATGTATGTGACCAAATGATGCCCCTCTCCTCCAAAGTTTTATAAAATTGTCTACACTGTCATTTATTTGGCAGTCAACCATGTAACATTTCTCTTACTGAATCATGATATATATGTAATATTTCTTCTACTAAACCACGATATATGTTTGTGTCCCACCTCTGAAATTTCCAATCCAGTAACTCATTCTCAATACACAATGACCATCCTTTCCTCTGGTTTCTCACACCCTCAATTCCATCATCCATCTCCGCTCTCCTGGTAAAGCTCAACTTCTGGACTCTTCTTTTCTTTTCCATCCCTCACCTGGCCTCTTTTTCTTTCCCAGCCAGCCTGGATACTAGGAGACTGTGACTTAGAAAACAAGTGACTTGCAAATCCTGGACCACATTGTTAGTTAGAAAGAAGGAAACAAAAGCCCATTCTTTGAACTTCCTACAGAGCAAGGAAAAACTCCACCCCTTTCGTTGTCTGGTTGTCTAAAACAAGAAAGAACTTTAGGAAAGTAAGACAGCGGTGAAAATTAACAACCAATGTTGAGCACTCCTTTTTAAGTTTCTAATTACAAATTGAGAATGATACTTCGTTAAACATTTTACACCATTTAAAAATAATTTTTGCTTGTTTTGAACTCTTTTTTCAAGTGTGACCTTTTTTTTTTTCCTAGTCGTACATAAAATCACATGGCTTGGATGTACCGTAAATTATTTAACCATTACTCCATTATGGAACATGTAGATTATTTCCAGTTTCTCGTGATTATAAATAATACTCGGATAAGCTTCCTTATATGTAAGTTTCTGGCAGCATCTTTGATTCCTAGATATGAAATTTCTAACCAGAAGGATGTGAATATGTTTTAAGACTCTTGATATAATTTACTAAAAGGTTTTGTGGAAAGATTTAACCAATTTGCACTCAACTTACCATAAGAAGGCTTCCCAGGTGGCTCAGTGGTAAAGAACCTGTCTTCCAATGGGGGAGACACAGGTTCAATCTCTGGGTCAGGAAGATCCCCTAGAGCAGCAAATGGCAACCCACTCTCCAGTGTTCTTGCCTGGGAAATCCCATAGATAGAAGAGCCTGGTGGTCTGTAGTCCATGGGTCCTGAAGACTTGGACACAACTGAGCGCGCACGTGTGCGCACACGCGCACACACACACACACACACACACACACTCAACGAATAAGCACAGAGGGGAGAGATCTCTTGGTAGATTAAGCATTTGTCAAAGCATCCTTTCCTATACTTCTTCCTTAGCATCAAACTCCATACTGAAATGACTGGTTCAGATTCTATTTTCTCATTAGACTGTGAACCCCTGAAGGGCAGGGAATGGACTGCATTCACTTATTCACTCCCAGCTCCTAGCTCAACCCATTTTAAGAGAAATGCTTTAAAAATCTTGGAGAAAATAAGGAGTTTTCACTCTGACTTTTCTCAATATACTGTAAGTCTAGGGCATCTCTTTTTAATCTCTAATAATAGCTACAGGACCTTACAAAAGGATCCCAACACGTATCTGTGAATTAAATGGTTCAAAACGACTATTGCTGCAAAGCAGAGATTGGATTCATGTCCTTACCTGTCACCAAGTCCTTCTTGACACTGAACATCATGATCATAACTGAGGTTGCTCTCTCTCTTATAAAAAGAAAGTTCTTACCACAAACCAAGAGTATAAGGAGAGAGGGTTGGGCACATTTTTCTGTTCAGCACTTTTGAAAGAAGATACTGTGTTAATAACATGCTGTGACTTTTGGACTTGAAATTGTTTACTTCTCTAGATAGTCTCATTCTACTGACCTAAGAACTGGGCCCCTTTATAGTTCCATAAATAAGGATTCAATTGAAAAAATAAATTACTGAAGATATTTTAAAAATTCCAGTTCTGGAGACAATAGGTCATTTTCAATATTTTGCCTTCTCAGACTTCTTTGTCTTTCCCCTGGGGGCACCCAAAGCCTTGGATTGCAGGGCAAGTACTGCATTATTTACAAATTTGCAAATACTGTAATTTGTTTTGTGCACAAAGGAATTCACACAATTGTAAATTGATTGCTCCCTTTGAGCTGTTAATTAGATTCCTGCTAATTTTTCCTAGGGCCCAAGACCAGTACTACTCCAAAAGAGGAATTAAAAAGATGCGAGCCAAAAGCTGCACTGCTTGAGTGCCCCTTCCCTTTCCACCCTCTCCACTGGCCACCTCCACCAGGAAAATTATTCTCAGCGAAGCTCATTTTCCAAAGAAAAAATATTCCATCAAGATCTAGATTTCTGCCAGCTTTCTCTTCTAGCTTCCCCTTCCAGAGTTTCCTGCATTAAACTCTGTAGAAAGTAGACTGCAAAGCAGAGGCCTACAGATGTGGGCTTGTTATTGTTTGGCCTGCAAATGTTAGCCAGCACAGTCATTTTTAACACTGAATTACTTAAAAATACTTGTTGGAGGAGATTTTTGCCACCACCCCCACCCCCACCCGCCAGCAAGTCTAGATTTCTTGAAAAATGGTTAGATCTGGTTACACTGGATGTATACTGGTATATGGGCACCATCTGCTGGAGCCCAGTACCTGTTATCTGCATTTGGACATGCATTTTCTAGTTTACCAACGTCTCTGTCGCTCTTCGGGGTTCCATTTTGCCACTTTATGTACATTATCTTCTTGAACTTGTAAGGATTTGCCATCTCTAAACTTTCTCCAGCACTCAAATTACTGATCTGCTGACTGATCCTCTTAACTTTATCATAGAATATGAGTTAAAAAGAAACTTGTCATCTCTTGGCTATAGCAAAAGTTGAGGAAAAGGATCCAATGTAAAGAATATCATGATATTCAGTTGCCCGGGTGATAGTAAATAAGGGATGGATTGCAAAGTGGCCTGAGGAATCCTTTGTTGGTGGTGGAAATGGTATGTATCTTGATTGTGCTAACACTTTCACGGGTGTACATAACTGTCAAAATGCAATAAACTGTACAGTTTTATTATGCAGTTAACTGTGTGTAAGTTATGTCTCAATATAGTGGATTTTTTTTAAAAAACAGAATAATGGTTGTATAATATTTTAACATTTGTATGTATAACAATCTGTTAGGTCAAAATTCTATAATTGGATATTTGTGGGAATACTTTTAGTGAAAATAATAATATCAAATATGCAAAGTCAAAAAAAGAATATCATAATATATATATCGATTATACATCAATTAAAAATAAATTAAAAAAAGAATACTCTGATACTCTGACACATACATGTGCATGTGTGTGTGTATACACACTAGGGGAAGGACAGTTGTCTAAGAAGGTACTATTATGTCCTTTACACTGATAACCTCACTCCTTATTCTACCTCTGTCTAAATTCCCATTCAAATTGTAGCTTTAGGAGAAAGGGACCAAAGGGAACATGGCAATAGCAGAAGGACCACAAGAATGTTTTCTTTGATAAGCATTATCGTATGGGGACTAAGAGCCTGGGCTCTGGAGTCAGATATGGATTTGAGCGCTGACTTGGCCTCTTACTAGATATACGACCTTGGGCAAGTCACTTACTGTCTCTAGGCTTCAGTTTCCTCATCTGTGAGATTGAGTAATAGTACTTTCTCAAAGGGTGATTGTAAGATTGAATGAGACAATGCACTGTAGTGTTCAGGAAGCAACTAGAACCTTGCAAGCCCTCAAAAAATGTTTGCCACTGGCTGCCACAACACAAAGGATGTTATGCTCTGACATTGGTCTAGATACTTAACTTTTCTATGTCTCAATCTTTGTCATCTAAAAAGAAGCTATTAATATTGGCTTAGTTATAGACAGCTGTTTTGAGGATTAAATGAGTTATATGTGCAGCACTGTAAGACAATGTCTAGCACATAAGAAATGCTATATGAGTATTTACTCTTATTGTATCCTGTGGTCAGGAGATCTTTTTTACTTTCTTCTTTTTTTTTGGTGAAGATTTGATTTTCAAAGTACTTCTCAAAAGTAAGGTAACATAGTGTTGTA